TGACAATCTGGTGTACACGAGAAAGATTAAGTATGCCCAGTTGCTCAACCTTCAAGTCCCTGTGGTCGCCCTTTGTCACGCTTCGGCGTAGGCGCAGTACGTCGACGTGGTGGACAAATGTCACAAGCACCTCAAGAACGTCGAGGATGACCTGGGCGTTGTTGTGCGCGATTGTGAGATCGTGTACGTCCTGCAGGACTGGATGGTGTTGTTTATAATCAACAAGACTGATACAGGTGTTGATCACAAAATCGCCCGCCAGCAGTGGATCAGTCCATATTAGCATGGTATCGACGCACTCAATCTTCTCTATTGAATACACGTACAGACGTTGTCCAAGTGAGACCACGGCACAAGCAGAACTCCAGTCAAATTTTCCCGCACACGCCATCTCCGACTCGCGCTCGTTTCCTGCCCAGCCGTGCGTCCTCCCTCGGGACATAACATAATACACGACGTCCACGCGCGGACGCCCTGGGTGAGCCAAAGACCCATAGTGCAGCCCGAGGAAGGCGGGGCTATTGGTACGGAGAGGGTCGAGCGGGGAACGGCTGTTGGGTAGCCTGAAGGGGCGGTTTGGCAGCGGCAGCAGCTTGCGCTGTCAAGCAGGCCAACGCCAGCATTTTGAAGAGATTCCTGAGGACGTGGGAGAAAGAAACGATGGAGGAATGGAGTGGGAGACGAGGACAGAGAGGGATTTGAGGAATATTGAGAGGAATATCCGGACATTGGGTGCCAGGGCGCGTTTAATGAGGCGGGCTCTGCACCTGTGTCATGAGCTCAGGGTAGGTAAAGCCTGCAGCGAACCCTGAGGAATGCAAGTCGGACACCGTCTTCAACACCCAAGGGGAGGATAATTGATCAATGTGGTTGGGGAGGAGCGCACTGGTACTATGACTTCGTTCTATTTGTCCCTTGTATCATCGTAGATTCATTCAGCATGTTTTTCATGTGGCCGAAGCAAGTCTCCAAGGCATGATCAATTACGGGATCTTCTTGTACGTGGTGGATAATCTTCGAGTATGACACGCCCGAGATTGTGTCGAACGATATACACTCGCACACTACTTGAGTCATAACGTTGAAGACCTTGCGTCATACAAAGGACTGTAGATGCCAAGTGGACATCTCAACTTGCAGTGACGTAGATCGGAGGACATTGTGGTACTATGCCGACTGGTAAGTTTCTCTCGCTAGGTGTTGTCAATACATCCATATCCATGTGGTCTCTTACTATACGCGTTTATGATTCAAATGAGCATCTACTAAAAATTTGCTGGTCGTCCTAGATATACAGCACTCGAGTGTTAAAACTCTAAATATAAATTCAGCTGTTGGTGAGGTGATGAAATAGATCTCTTACAATCATTCTTGACTGCCATGCTCTCCTTCAATCCGCCGAACTACTCGTTGATGACTTTTTACAACATGTTCGCTTCCTGATTCCATATCCTAATGATGTCAGACAGTTGGCGAAAGAGTGAAAGGGAAAGGAGTCCAGTATCCGCACCTTCCAATTCACATCGTGCACGATCTTGTACCTTTTTCTTGTAGTTATCGTTATCAATGCAATGTTCAGTGGGCGGAAAAATGTCGTCTCCCTGCTATTGCAAAACAGTGATCGTAGCAAAGTAACAGCCAGAAGAAAACTTCTTACAAGTCTTTTATCTTTCTCGTATTTCATTTTTTTGCAGAGATCAAACACGCGTGAAGTAGTTACAATCACAAGGAGGCGTTGAAGAGAGAACATGGTATTTCCTGCGTTGTGGGCCGCTTGGATGGTGAGCACATTTATAGTGGAACGTGGCTGAAGTATTCGGGTGTAAAGACAGCGTGAGATTCGGATGGAGATTTAGGTTGCATGAAACCACCGCATTGATGACGACAAAAGCTTCACCGCAGGAAACGCATTCTGTTGACTGAAAATAGAAAGTCACTGCGCTAGCGCTGACCAATAACCTAGAAAGAATCATACCTGGCGTGGTACTTTGTTTGTTGATGCAAGACATCAGAAGAAAGCATGGAAAATAAGAAAAGGGACGAACGCGCAGATTCTGGGAAGCATACCCATTCTGAAAGACGCCGTTGAATCTAGAATGTCAAGAAAAATTCGTAGGATATTACGGCCACAGATGTTATATGACAGCAATACACGGTATTGCAACGTTGTCCCAGCAAATATCATCACGGCCTTGTCAATTGATTGAAGACGTTCTGTATTTCGAATCCAGCACAGAAGGCGACCGGGATTGATTTACGTGTAAGTGTCAAGAACTGTCTTTGAATCGGTGAGGTAGCCAAAGAAGGTAGTATACATCGATGCCGACTTTGGTAATCTGAAGGAGCATGCACAATAATTTAGCCACGCAATTTAGACACTTGTGGAACTGCTGCACTGCTTGTCTCCGCATTGTAGATTTCGTTCTCAGAACATCTGTCTCGAAACGAGTTGAATTCTTCAATCTTGGTGTTGTCGACGCCATGTCCGCAAAACGGGGCCTGCGGCAATTTTCTGTACTCAGTCCGATCATACGCGGCCACACACGAAAACAAACTTGATTTTTTGATGACATACAAAGTCGCACGTTTGAAGATGTACAAAAAAAGACACTTACTTGTCACAATACCATGCTGCGCAACACATGCAACCCATAAATGCAGTCGTCTTCTCGCCTGTTGCTATTGAAAGAAGCTGTTGGTTGACGCCGTGAGTTGCCCACAAGATGGAAGATCCTGACTGTTTAGGACGTCAATCGACTTTAGCCTGGGAGAGTGGCAGAAACCTCTACTAGTCATTGAGTGTTGTGAATCCATCTCGACCCTGTAAATCAAGTCAAGGACGGCAAGTATCACACTATGTATCGAGCTGATGATACATAAGCACACGTCGCCTCTCCATATCCTGATCTACGACATCCGAATTAGAAAGCGGGAGAAGTCATGTGAGATGCGTGCTCGACCACCGATAGACTCTGCATCAGCGTTCGGCCTATATCAATCACAAAGGGCGGGGTCGGCCAGGATGACCCCGCAAAAGCACCTTTGGCTGGGTTTTGTGGGTTCCGTGGACTTGAGAGGAAGATGAAATTGAGAAGCCAATGTCGGATTGGAGAAGGAGGTCAGGACATACAATATGTGTTGGTTGCATCGCGTTTTGAGGAGCCAGAGACGGACGGTGGGCCTTAGAGGCGAGCATTGAGATGTGGCCAGATAACGTGAAGTTGCTGAGAATAAGTCTTATGTAGAATTCATGGATCTTG